AATTTCCAGGAAATGAAAAATGTGGGACATGGAAAATGGCCAATCTATGAAGTTAATTTTTTTGCTTGCTTACTTAAATCAAGGGATCAACTTCTGAAGAAAGGAAAAAGGAAATTGAATTTTGCCTCATCCATCCTAAAATAATTTATATACATCTTCAGGTCTTCGGTTCAAAGCTCCTTAATTAAAGAATGTCTGATGGCTCACAGCATGCAACCTGAGTCCTCAACGAAACCTCTTTAGAGTACCTCTTTGAATTCTGGGAAAATGAATAATTTTCAGAAAGACAACCATTATCCAAAGAAGCGTTCTAAATCAGCAACTTTCAAGAACACATTAGTACATCATTTTCAATTAGGGTACTCATCTACTCTAAACTTCATGAAATGGCAAAAAAAAATATTTCTATAATTTCAGTTTGCAGGAGAGGGGTACTAATAAGTACTAATAAGTAAGTAATGCCTCAAATTATTCTTCTAGCATTCCTTGTTTTCAAGATATTTGCTATTTTCTGCATTACAGTGTAAATACCATGTACCTCTTTGCTTCAATACCTCAAAACTCTATGTAAAGGTTTTTTTTCATAAATTTTAATTTTTTTAAGCATCTTAATGAAGCAAAAAGATTGTATCTCCTGAACCAGAAAATATATTACACTCTTCCTTTGTTTCAAAGTTAACACTCTCCACAATGCAAACCACAAAAAATGAAGGCATTGCATTAAACTGATGTGAAAATTAAACATCTTTTTTATAAAGGAAACAATTCTTTCTAACCATCCAGGAAAAAAAAGTTAATATAAAAGTGAGGGCAAAATAATCAAGAAACACTAGACAAATTGCTACCTTTTGAGGTATACATAATAAAACACAATTTACATATATTTGAGGTGTGTATATACACATCCCATTTTTGTGTAATTTCTGTAGAAATTACTTAAGTTTGCCTAGAATGAGTTAAATTGAATAATTACGGATTAACTCACTTTGAATAGAGGAGTACCTTAATGTAAAAACAGAATGTTTGAAACACTTTCAGGACATTCCATAAAAGAAACTTCCAGGTTAGTTAGAAAATTTACCCCCAAATACTCGTATTTATGAAATTGCACATGTACACACAAGACAACAAGTGTATTGGTCATTGAGTTTTCTTCACATTTTCAGTTTTACTTTGTTTTTATAAAAAATAGTAAAAGTTCAGAGAAATACCCTAATATACATAGTTATGTAATAAGAATTCTTTAAAGGAACATTTTTTATAATTTTTAAGTTGCAAATCCATCTTCTTAACACTACGTAACATTACACTTGAAAAAAATTTTCAAAAAATCTTGTAAACTTAAGGATCAAACTCGAGAATGATTGTGTGTTTCTAAACAGGTATGAAAAACATATTGACTAAACAACCAGTTATGACATTTTCTACTTATAGACAGAATTTCCCCTTTGATGTTAACTATATTTTATGAAGATATAACTACAAAGTTGAAGTCTTGAAGTATCTCCTTTAATTCTTGGATAATTTACGGGGTATATACAAGTTGAGACATAGGATCTTAGAAAAAGAAAACTTTCATTTAGATATATATAATTAAACATGTTAAAATGTTAAATAATATTCCTCCAAAAGCACAATGAATATCTTCTCAAAATACTACACTCAACCTGAAATATTTACTCACATTGTTGGTTATAACAGAAAAATGCTTAACTTTCCATCTAACACATTGAAAACATTCGACAACTGGCACAACTTTAACAGTAAATTGCCACAAATAACTTCAGGGACAAAATAATTATGAGAATGACATTTAGTAACGCAATAAGTAACTAGAGAATTCTCACTGGTCTGCAACTATCATCTGAATTTCAGAACACTTTTGTCTACTAACTGGCGATCACAAAACTGCTCTCAAAACATCAAAGTGTACTGCTAGAGAACAATGGTAGTTTGGTCTAATCTAATCAGTATTTGTCATCCCATCATAACTTCAAAATAAACAAGATAAATGACAATAACTATTCACGTACTTAAATCATATTCTTATAATTCACATATCACCATACAAAATGTGTCCAGAAAGCAAGTTGAATGATTTTTTTTCCTGCCATTCTGTAAGAATGCAGTGTTGCAACTGGTTGGAAAAAAGTGGATGGAAGATCTTGGGAAGGCAACGCATATCTCGCCAATATCCTTCTGGGCATTATAAAGTGGGGATTACTTGTAGTGTGTATACATGTTCTAGTGATAAATCAAGAGATCAAAATGCCATGATTCACTGAACAGCAACATGCCATGAAATTTCGTGTTAAGTTAGAGAAATCAGACTCTGAGTCAGTCATAATACTTAAACAAGCTTATGGGAGTGATATGATGCCCCAAAACATGATTTGCTGGTGGTTCAAAATGAAGAGAGGATGTTGATTATAAACAAAGACCTGAATGTCCACATCTCGTGGAAGAGCATCATGCTCATCATCTTTTTGGATTCCAATTTCATTGTCCACATTGTTTCATTTGTGCCACAGGAAAAAACAGTCAATAACTTTACTTCAAAGTCCTTGAAAAGCTCTGAAACCAGGTGCTTTGTGTGAGGAAGGAGTTCAGTGGAAATTGACGACTCCATTTCAGCAAAGCATCATGACTTTACTGCCTTCGTTGTTAGAAAATTACTGGCCAGGCTCAGTGTGGCAATGCTACACCAGCCACCATACAGTCCCAATCTAGCACCAGAGTTACTTTTGTTTCTTCAAATAAAGAGAAGTTTAAAGGGTCATCGTTATGAGATGGTAGATGCTGTGAAAGCAGCCGACGAGGTGTCTGAAGGATGTTCCCATGAACATGTTTCATGAAGCCTAAGCTAGCAGAATCCCTGAAAAGAGTGTACTGACGCCCAAGGGAGTTATTTTGAAAAATACTAAACATATGTACTTTTATTTTCAATAAACATTTTTTTATGGATTCATTCAACTTACTTTCCAGACACCTGTATATCTTTTTTATATTCCATAGGGATCCTAAATGTGTAGTCATCGAAATTGCTCCAAATACTTTTCAGAACTCTGTTACTCAAGAAAAAATGTTGCTCTAATATAAACATTACACAATGGAAAGAGAAGCAAGTCTCTGGACATTGAGAAAATACAAATATTGGTGCCCAGTCAATTGTCTACTGTGACATTACAACGCTGCACTAATGTGCCAAGAAAGAAAAGTGCCAAAGACAATGGACACGTTTACTGAACGTCACATTTTAAATAAACTCTTTTGGCCTATGTACCTTTCACCGATTCTTCTTAAAAAGCTGACAAGAAGTGGGAAGAACTTGTCCCTCATGTATCTGGAAATGAACTGGCTCTCAATTACCGATTCTCCAGGTAGAACAGCTGTATACATAAGAGCCTAATGTCTTTTACATCGTTCATCTCCATGTACTTTCCATTATGCAACTTCTCAGAGAATTTCAAATCTACCCAGATTATTCTGCAATAACCTTCCATAACAGCATGTTTCTGGTACTTCTTAGTGTATTAAAATGTGTAATTAGGGTCACTTATCTTTATGCAATCTATGTTTTAAACCAATTTACATAAATAATTAAATTCTGAATTGAAACAAATTTGGAGGTCTTCTCATACAAAAACTGTAATATGAACTTAAGAAATGAAGTATACCTTATCAGACATTGGTGAATCACCCATTCTAGTAGATGAATTGTCCAGCCATCCTGAAATTCCTGAAACAAATGAGACTTGCAATTAAACTTGCCATAATGGCACAATATCGAAGCCTACATTCAGCATGCGAACACAGTTCTAATATATTTTACTCAATGTCACAAACACATTTATATCAAATAAAAAAAAATATTTATTTATAATACAGGTATTAAGTAACACAAATTGCATTGACAAGAAGTTCCCCAATATAAATGAGGCCATTTCTGAAATTATAAATTAAAACTTGAATATAAAATTAAAACCTAACGATAATCGTTATTTATTTCATTACTCTTGTTTTTCAAATTTAATTTTTAAGTTTGCCATAAAAATTTTGGAACTAGCTGTTTTGTAGTCTTTCTTCACTAGAAAATTATTACATTTCTGATGCTGTAACAGAAAAGAAGCAAAGAATCATTGATCAGAATTTCAGTACAAGCCTTTCAAGAATGTTAATTGAAAGTTTTAAAGATTAATGAATTTGTTGAATGTTTCAAATTAAGGAAGTTCAATTTTATCCAAAAAAGTGAAGTTTGAAACTTACATAATATAGCAACTCGAAGTTACAAATGAAAGTTTATTTGACAATCCCTTTTGAAATTACAGATTTCTGTTATAAAGAGCATATCTCAATATTGGCAATAATCTTAAAATATTCTCTGAGCTAATAACTATGCTTTATTTTTCATGGCCCTATTGTTGCATAACATATTTATAAAAAATGAAAGTGTGCAAAGTTTTATAAGATTTTCTTTAGACATAATGCAATCAATATTCAAAGTATATGAGGATTAACTTCACAAAACACAATTTTAGTTTCATGTACATATATACACACACACAGCTCACTATATTTACAAAAAGCATAAAGAATACCTATGCATTCTACTTGCTTTTTCAAAATTGAAATCTGAAATTTATTAAACTATTGTTTACACGATTTGAAAAACACATTTAAGAAACTGTAGGTGTTTCATTGCGTTATCACTCACTACAACTAAGTGAACAAGTGTCTCTTTTATTCTGATGGAAAAGATAATTTACTACAAACCATTTAATATTAAATAGAACCTAATTAAAACAAAAATATTACCCCTTTAAATCAATATCCTGTCCCAAGTGAAATTCCAGCATTGGTGTGTTAATGATAATTGTCACTTTATTAAAGTTTTCAAAACAGATGCATCTTATGACACCACAGATTAATTCATTCAAGAATATTAATTCGTGCTTCTTTCATTAAGATTTGCAGACATCTATCTTGCAGTGTGTGTGCAAGCAACAAACAAAGACAACCAATAATCCACTACAAGTATCATACTATAACCAAAAACAACAGTGTGAATATTGTTTCAAAATCAATTTATCACATTTACTAGAATGAAGATGGAGTTTCCCGGTATAGTCAAATATTTAAAACTGTAGAGAGGAAAATTCTTTGATTACAGATACTAGATTATATTTTTTTGTATCTTCCATAAAGTCTCTTCTCTTTGATCTGACAAAAATGTTACTAAGTAATTGTGCTTTTATTCTTGATAACATGTTATTAGTGTCATGCCCCCCCCCCCCCATT